ATATTCAGTTATCCACGACTTTGAACTTTGTCTATGACTGTAATCCAAACGGCAGTCTTTACACAAACCGGTCACGATATAAACTCGTCTTCAGCGTGTGTGCAGACTTAAGATATATCAATAGACTATTTAAATTCAAAAATAAACTAAACATGTACTTATGGGGCGAAAAAAATGGCAGTAAATTTAAATAAACTCTGAAACGGTTTTGATAATTCGGTTAATATAGACCTTTTTGTAAGTATATAAAACACCGGTGCAATTTGGCTTGTATTTTGTAGGCTTTGTATGAATTATCAAATAAGTGACAATTCTTTCAATAAGTGACAATTCAATTCAAGGAGAATTCAATTCAGTGACAATTCAGTAAGTGACAATTTATATCAGCATATTGTTATTTTGAAACTGTATACTAATCATAAAAATATTGTATGAGCCTGTAATATATTATATATAAATCAGTTGGAAAAATAGTTTTAGTCATGCGCAATATCTTTGTAAGTGCGTAACTACGTCACTTCCGTCACCAGTTGTTGCGGTGCACATTGAACGAAAGATTTTCGGCGTTTCATCCCTTTCTTATTTATGTACGGGCTACACCCTCGGCATCCTTTCGTAAGATGTTCGGAAATTGTCGTTGCAATGCAATGATGTTTGAATTACATGAAGTAGAAGGCATCATATTATCGAAAATATAAAAATCAGGTAAATTTATCCTTTTATGACTTTGTCTGCAGATTGTTGTGATATAAATATCCGATATTGGTTGATGACAAGGTATTTATAAAACACAATCGTACTTTTCTGCCCCCTGTGTATAGGTTGGTATTTTTCAATTATGTACCGTACATGCCCCTTAAGAAGAGTATATTTATTAACTGTTTACAATATTTGTGGTATATAATGTAGCCATGAATGCATGACCACATGACCCCACAAGATGAACTCCAATGGCTTCTAAATAAGACAATGGATGAAAGGTTCACGAATATTGAGCTTTATATATGATTCGGGTTAAATACAATAATTATTAACCCAGCTTTATATAAAATGTACATGCATGTTCTAATAATTGTATTTTGCTTCATACAATGCATATGTGTGTGAAAACATTACATTATTCAGCTCACTCCCCTTAATTGGGGCTTTTCAGTCACCGCTTACATCAAGTATTAGGGTTACTTATGTTAGTCTAGACTATTTATCTTTATAACAATGAGAATATGATATCACTTTTCTAACTGTGTTTATTCTAACCCACCCTGCCATATTTTGCCTTGTGGGAGGAAACCGGAGCAAAATATAAAATTCAATTACCTTGAAAACACAGGTCTAATTTGCAATCCCAAAAATTTAGAATTTTCTCTTAAATCGCCTAAAATCGCATTAAATCGCAGTGCTTGAAAGTCCCAGTTTTTCCTTAAATCGCCTAAAATCGCCCAAAATCGCATTATATCGCAGCGATTTAAGGCGATTTACCGCCCCAGAGTAGGCCTTAAATTCGATATATTATCTCAGTACTATCAAATTCCACTTACCTTGAAAGTAAGAAAATCGACATTTGTTCGAGCATATTTTGCTAGCTAAATATGATAAAAATAGTAAATGTCGATTTTCTTACTTTCAAGGTAGGCCTAAGTGGACTTTGAGAGTACAGATTATTATCGAATTTGAAAAATTGACTTTAAATTGACATATTTCATCAAATTAATAGGGTTAATATACGTCGGTACCGTGATTCTGGTATATACGACCTATTAACAAGGGCAGATTTCGTTTTAAGTCAATCAGCGCGTTTGTTTACATTTTCGCTCGTGACCAATCAGAATGCTTAAAATTTAAAAACGTAAACAAAAAGAGCGAGAAAATATTATCGTAATCTGAGACTTCCGTAAGTTACAATATTAACTTTTTTTATCTGAAACCGAATGATTCTAATAGAAAATACATATATCTTGAATTTTGTCGTGGGACTTTTTAAATTTCGACACAGAACGCGAAATATCGATGTTTGAATTGCCGCCGTGATTGCGCTCTGTAGGGAAATAACGCTGTTTTCATTGGGAAGATTTTGTAGTTTTTCTTCCGTTTTATAGTGCATGCATACTCTGGTATAATTTACTGTACTGTACCTCTGATCGTGTTATGGAAAATGCGTCAAAAAGTTATATTGAGCGGTGATCAGAGGACGGTGATAAAGTGATATGTCATATCCGGTTTCCTGTTCGCTCTCGATTGCACGCGCCTGTTTCTCGAGCTGTTTGATTGATTTTGTCCATAAATACAGTATTTGCTTGTTTGTTTTAAATCATTTTCAACGAGGAAACATCGAAACAGTACGTATAGACAAAGTGCCAGTGGAAACAGATGGAACCATTTTGCTACAGCACAGTGTTTATCTTGGTGTCAATGTTGTTTCCAATGTCGGATTCGTTGTAGCAATGTATCGATTGTCCTTTCGTTTTCTGCATCTTCTGGCTGGATCTCGTGCTCATCATCATCGTCGTCTGTTTCGCTTTCGTCGTCGCTTTCTGTATCTTCTGCCTCGTCTTTGTTCTCCTGCATGCAAAGTCGCTCTCAGCCTCGTTCACTACCTTGCCAAGGACGTCGAGCTTTGTCAGCAATGTTGACTGACAAATCTGGCAAACACTTATGTCAGCCAAAGCGCATTCAATGTGGAAAGAATGACCACAACCACATACTTTCCACAAGGGGCTTTCCTTTCTCGCATTCAGGTGAATCGCATTTAGTCAGGTGACTTGGCAAATTTAACATTACCGGACGGGAAAAAGTACCAAATTTGGCATGGAGTTTCTTTTGGACCTATCTGTTTATTTTATCCGTGGAACCCACTTGAACGGTTCCGACTTTCCAAGATGGCGGCCAAAATCAAAGATGGCCGCCAGAAAAAAGGAAATGTTATATATTTGACTGTAAAAATCATAAATGAACAAATGAAGTGTCAATTCAGGGGTTTCCGGAGTCAATGAAACAGATGCTGGTCATGGAATGTTGCTCAGGCCACCAATTTCGAAGATGGCGGCCAAATTTCAAAATGGCCGCCAAAAAAAAGGAAATTTCGTGAAAATCGTAAATGAACAAAGATAATGTCCGAAAAAGGCTTTACTAGGCCTAATTTTGAATGGTTATTGTGACTTCTATAGCTACATATCAGCTTACATGTTAAGTGCATACTGGTAGTATTCACGAATTATATCTACAATATTTCAATACAGTTTATCTCTACAAGACAGTTCACAGTCGATGTATCCTATTTAGATGATCATGTGCACCGACAAAGAGATGTGCAAGGCAGATTTGCTTTGCTGCATTTGCAGACTGTATAGGCCCTTTTGCAGCAACTTTTCACGAATTCTCTGCACGCTCTAGACGCCTCTGGAATGGTAGACCAGACAGGTTCCCATGAGTTCCCGACTTTCACCCACGCATATGCGGTTGAACATGGATTCGTTTGTTGAGATAACATGCATGTTCTCGAGATGCCAGCCTGGTATACTGCCCTCCAAATGTGCTGGAGTAGTGCATTCTGAGTAGGAGGTATCTTGTCAACAGCTTGGCTTTTCTGGCTGAACAGCTCCATCCGGGCACTGCAAACATTCTTGGCGTTACTTGTTTTGTCATAAACCACGACAACTAGTCTCTCGATTCTTTGAAATGATTCAGAATGTAAATCAAGATGCTCAAACGGATGTGAAATGGCAAGATGAACAAAGGCGTCAGTAACTTCCTCATAAGCATTCCATGACTGCCAGAACGATTTTTTCCCTTTCCCTCCAAACGCTGATGTAGTATCACATCCTGACAAGGAGTGGAAAACGAGCAGGGAACGTGATTTACGTTCACCAAGATGGCCACAAATGGCGTTGATGCTGTAATGAGTGTGTGTAGTTCTTTCCAGTACCAAATGCTACCCAAAGATCAAGATCAGCATTTATCTGAGAGAGGTCATGAAACACACCGGTAAGAGCAACAACGACGTCTGTGTCCACAGTTCGCACCTGGATGGATTTTGCTCCATTCTCCAAAGCATGCTTCACGTGAACAACAATCCTAGTGTCTGCTTCTTCATGATTACAGCTGGACATTTCGATCAGCCTTCCAACACATGTAACATGCTCTCCAGCTGTGATATGTACCGAACACTCAGGAGAGATGCTGCAATCCGCAACTTTTGATGACAGGAATTCAAAGAGTTCCATCTTGTTGATTGGATTGCGGAGGCGGAAGTCATTCCAGTTGCCCGGCAGCTTGGTATCACCTGATACTTTTCTACGCACACCTTTAATTTGCCTCGTTTTTCCTTGGTTCCTTCCTTCAGGCTATTTGGCCGGTATTCGTCCCACACAACATCCACTCGCTTTGTGTCACGCAGCTGACGTTCCAAATGGGGTATAAACACGTTGTCAGCATATTCCTGGAATGTTGAGACATTTATTACAGGCAATGCATGTACTGTCACCGCACCATCCAGAACTTTGCAGTCATATAATAAGGTGCTTCTGTCTGGTTTGGTTCCTTGATAAATTGTAACAGATGACATTTGGTACCAGACAGATTAAGCTTTACAAACTCAGACAGGGATGGAGGATACGATTGAACTTCGTGCGCAAAGAATTCACTGATGTCACCATCTCTATTTTGTAAGGAGATGTATAACTGGCCGAGGAGTGCCACATTGTTCTCAAACACCTTTACTTTCTTGCAATCCTTCGATCTGACTTTGAGCTTTGTTGAGAACAGGGGTAGTAAATTGTTTGAGATCGTATCATGTATTGAGTGACTCCGATCGACTAGCACGGTCTTCACATAGTCTTGATACTTCTTTGTGCCTGCGTCTTCCAGTGTACGGATTGTATTCACTACCGCCTCATTTGCGCAGTTACGACTATCAAGAGTTACCAACTCTGCGAAGTTATCCAAGAAGGGATTTCCCATGTTGCGTATTGTGTTAGATAGGCTATCAACTTGTCGCTGAAAGGTTTTCTGGGCTGCAAGTCCCTGCTTATGGTGTTCGAAGTTTTCGAAGTTCGAAGAGCGGGGTTTTGCGGATCATCGTCATGAAGATGTCCATTCTCGTACTGTCTCAGAAGTCTGGCAAGCTCGGGTCCAGCGGTCATCCAGGGCCTGAAGGCAACTGGATTCTCAGTTAGCCCTACTGCACCACCGGATGCTTTCACCACTTTATTCTCCTGCTCATGCGCTTGGTCGATTGGGAGCGCAGAGTATCTGTGTAACGACTTTGCGATTGTCCAGTGATTCCGAGTTTCAAACTCATCTTTGATCTCTTGTGGCAGCGCCTTCATGTCTCTGATGTGTACAGGCAGCCACCGAGAACAGTTCACGTGGTCTAACGCAACGAACAATGGTACGAGTACCTCTAATACAGTAACATACAATGGGAAGTTTCTCTCCCTATGGGCTCTAACAAATATGAGAATCAGAATCTCATAGTGTGCGATCATGTTCCAGAACTTGAACGTGGGAGATTTCTTGCACATTTGTTGGCTGGAGCCAGTTTCTCAAACTCTCATCAACATTAGAGCCCCGTTTACACTACGCTCAATTTTTGGTACGGCACGGATAAAAATTGGTACCCGTACCAAGAACCAAAAAGTGGTACGGTACCAAAAATTGAGCGTAGTGTAAACGGGACTTAGCTAAATAGGTAGTCCAAGAACCAAAAAAAAGTGGTACGGGTACCAATTTTATCTGTGCCGTACCAAAAATTGAGCGTAGTGTAAACGGGGCTTAGATCTCTGGTTGAATGCCTCATTCAGTAGCCTCTGAAGAACAAGAACAGTGACCTGGTGGGCATGCCGAGTCCTGGTAATGTGTGATACTTTCAGGAATGAATCAGCTGTTCCAGATGAAACAACTTCAGATTCAGCGAGAGCTGTTGTCCAACCTGACCCATCTAATAAATCGCCAACAGTGTTCCATAGCGCCTTCTCAATGTGCAATCCGCACATCATAACTACATAGACTTTCTCGCCATAGAGATCTGACCATTTCCATAGTACGTACTTGGCGATCGCGAAAAGAGGCTGGTCAAACGTAATCACTGGGATTTGTCCTGGGTTGAGATACTCTGTTGCCTGCCGATGTATATCCATGCCATGTTTAATCATTGCTGGAGTGTTTGATTTTTCATAGAAGAGAGGGAGCAGCGCACATATTGCTGTTAGCTCTGATGTTGGCTGTTGTTGAGTGGCGTCATAAGCAGACCATGTAAGTGAACTCGTCTTCCACAGTTCCACATCACTGATATGTTGAAGACTATGTTCCATCCAGTCACATTCTTCAAGTTTTGCATCTGTCAGGTCAAGCTTAACAGGTTCACTATTACTCTCTGCTACCTGAACATGAGTATACTTCAACGAAACTGCAGGAACAGAAGCATAATGGTCTGGAAGCGAGTGAGTATACGCCCTCGATGGCGGTAAAGTGACAGGTTCCCTGATGACACCGGGTTCACTCGTGCTTGGGATTTGAAATATACTAATGCCAGTGCCATGAAAAGATGTCGTGGCTGTTGTTGCACTTGGATCGCGATCGAGATTGTCACGAGCGCCAACAGTAAAGAGCCCTTTTCGCAGAATAGTTGGAGCCACTACACCATCATCTTCAAACTTCTCGCATACAGCTGTGGCGAGCCACTCTTCAATTTGCACCACCCTGTCATAGGAAACACTAATACCCATGTGGTATAACTGTTGGATGATCTTCTTACTTCTAGTCAGTGCGTATATATTTATGCCAATGTAAATTGCTAGTGGAGGTTCTCTCTCTCGAGTGTGCCGAACTTTCTTAGGCGAATTAAGTTTACGTTTCTTGACGTTGCGGACGATGGTTTGTCCAACAGTTAGACACACTTGTGAATCGTTACTCTCTGCCAGATTTGGACCATTAACAATCATAGAGACGATACACTGTAGACTCGATGGTAATGATTTCTTCTGACAACCAGGTGGATACTGGCTGGTGAATTGGAATCCTTCATGATGAAAGATATCATTTCTAACGATTGTTGCTGCTTGTGCCAATATCAGGGCATCTTCAGTAAAGTCACGTTTTTTCAGGGCATCTTTAATCATGTCTTTCATTACATCCTTGAATATTATTACGATGTTCCGGCCATCATGTTGTGCTTGTGCATCAGGGAACCGTTCAAGCAACTTCTCCTTCAATTTAATCTGGTTTTGTTGATAGTCTTCATAATGTTCAGCTCCTCAAGCCGATTAACATAAAAGGTGTGTAACTCTGATAATGTAAAGATAAGAGTTCCAGCATTTACTGACATTTCAATATAACCAGCAAGCTCAACAAATGTTCTTGACTTATTCATTATATCATCAGTGTTTATTGTTGCCTTTTGTAACTGTCTCATATGACTGCGATATCGATTTCGAAGGTGGGTCAAACATGTTAAATGATATGTCGCATCCATGGCCATGAGATCTGACCCAACAATCCTAGAAAGTAGCTGGGTATCCTGCAGTTCACTAATCATAGTCTTAAGGCCCGTATCCATATCATAAGATGAAACGTGGTGGAGGGGATTATCCTCGTCTGCGCCTTTCTCGCAAAAGAAACATTGTTCTATCATGACGATGGCATGGAGCGCCGCTTACAAGGTTGTCTACTTTGTTCATTATCATTTTCATGTGAATTGGAGTCCTTTTGCTTTCTCGCACTTGCCAGTTTGTAGTTTCTGAACTGTACATGACAGGATTTATGCCATGAGGCAGAATTCTTCACAAACGTGTCAACGGTTTGATCACTCCCAAACTTCAGTCCGGTTGAGAGCACATTAATATCACGGAATTGTTTAACTTTCGTCAAGAATGACTGATACGCAAACGCCTTATCGCCGTCTACTGACGGGTTGAGAAGGGGACATCTTAACTCTTCAGCTGTTTTTTTCTTGGCAGATGATGCATCGGCTAAAGTCTAGCTCCATGTTGCTTTATCTGAAAGAGATACTGTAATTGTCCAAATCAGGCCGGAACCGGATTTGGCAAAAATTCCGGCCGTAATAACTGAGATAAACCGGTAATGGGAACAATTGAGGTGTCAACGGTTTGATCACTCCCAAACCTCAGTCCGGTCGGGACCAGATTAATATCACGGAACTGTTTAACATTCGTCAAGAATGACTGATACGCAGACGTCTTATCGCAGACGTCTTATCAACATTCCATGAACAAATAAATGTGTTTAAATAAATGTTCAATGTTCAATGACTCCGGAAACCCTTGAATTGACACCTCATTTGTTCATTTATGATTTTACAGTTAAATATGTGACATTTCTTTTTTTCTGGCGGCCATCTTCGATTTTGGCCGCTAACTTGGAAAATCGGAACCAATGAAGTGGGTTCAACGGTAAAGAAGAAACTCCATGCCAAATTTGGTACTTTTGTCCGGCCGGTAACGTTAAACCTGAAAATTGTTGCTAAGCCACCTGACTAATTTTCTATACGTAAATAAAGCTTAAATTAAGTTACTTAAATTTAGTTTTTGTTTTTCTAGATCTTTGTTTCAAGAATTTTAAATGTTTGTTTGTAAGGAATTAATGAAATTTTATATAAATCCTTCAGTTTTTCCATACACATTTCATGGTGTGTTCTAAAACTCTAAAATTGGAACAATATATCTAGAATAATTTGGGTACATTTTCAAACATTCTTTTATTTTGTAACAAGTATTATATTTTTTATGTTATTTCACTTGTTTGTTTCTTGAATGTGGAAAATGGTTAAATAAGAAGGATAAGTAGATATAATGTTAATTTTGTATGTTTGGGTTTAACCAATAAACCACAATAAAATGCACTGCTGTCACACAATTTTACTCGACATCTAGGTGAGATGTTGTTTTTTAATAGGTTAACCAAACAATCTATGCACCCTACTTTATTATTTTACTCTGTCTAATACCAGACGATCTTTCTCGTCAAAGGGAGAGTGTTGCGCTTTATTTTTGTTTGACAGCATTCACAAACAGAATACTGTGAGCATGCCCCACCCCCGCCCATAATTCATATTTTGATATTTTTGCCTTTGCCTGTTTGGATTTGGAGCTTGTTGAACAGAAGTAAAGCCTAGTGACAGGACTCGATTATTTACAATTTTTTCTCCAAATAGAGTTGGCAGTTTCCATTTGGTCAGATATTTGGGTTGCCGTCTAACTCGGGGTTGCTGGGTTGCCATGTTAGGGTGGTCATTTTGGGATTCAAATTAAACTTGCTTGTCAAGAAATTTTGCTGCCTTTGCCTTCAACGTATTAATTCTCTTTGAGCTGTGGTTGAATCTCTTAGTTGACACAAAGACAGACTTAATTAAAAGAATACAGTTCATGCTTGCATGCATCAATCTCTTTTGCTTTGAATGCAATCTTGTCAGCTGAATCTGTTTCTTTTGTTCTTGCCCTTAGGACCGAGTGGAAATTTTCGACAGCATATTCATTGAATGCCACAAAATACTGTTGCACGGTTTCAAACATGGAGTGGGTATTTTCTTGCCCGTGTTCAAACAGGGACAGGGTTAGAGTGGAGTGACATGCTCGAGTCCTGCCACTAGGCTTTACTTCAGTTCAACAAGCTCCAAATTCAAACAGGTAAAGGTAAAAATATCAATATATGAATTATGGCCGGGGGAGGGGACATGCTCACAGTATTCTGTTTGTAAATGCTGTCAAACAAAAATAAAGTGCAAGTGTTCAACACTCTCCCTTTGACGAGTAAGATCGTCTGGTATTAGACATAGTAAAATAATAAAGTAGGGTGCATATATTGTTTGGTTTATCCATTAAACCACAGGCACAAGACTAATTTCACCTGGATGTTGAGTAAAATTGTCTGACAACAGGGCATTTTATTGTGGTTAATGACTGAACTCGAACATATAAAATTAACATTACTTATCCTTCTTATTTAACCATTTTCCACATTCAAGAAACAAATAAGTGAAATAACATAAAAAATATAGTACTTGAAGCTTGTGATGTTACTCTCAGTGTATATCCACGTATATACACTCAGAATAACATCACAAGCATCACATTCACCTGAGTACATTACACCAACACAGAAAAATCGTTACTGATTATTAGTTTACATTGATATCGAAGGAATTAGATTCTCTTCCGAAATATCACATACTCGAACCAATCTGACCTCGTAGCTCAGTTGCCAGAGCATTGGGCTAGTATTCCAAAGTTCGTAGGTTCGATTCCCACCGTGGTTAGGCATATTTTTCAAGCTTGCCTCAGTATAGATATACACTCAGAGTAACATCACAAGCATTATATTCACCTGAGAAGATTACACCAACACAGAAATATAGTACTTGTTACAAAATAGAAGAATGTTTGAAAATGTACCCAAATTATTATAATTATATTGTTCCAATTTTAGATTTTTTAGAACACACCATGAAAAGTGCATGGAAAAACTGAAGGATTTATAGAAAATTTCATTAATTCCATACAAAATGAAAGAAAGGTGACCTACAAACAAACATTTAAAATTCTTGAAACAAAGAACTAAAAACGACAAAATCAATTCGGACAGACAGTCTATCTAAATAGGTTACAAGTAACTTACTTTAAGCTTTATTTACTTCATACAAAATGCGATTTACCTGAATGCGAGAAAGGAAAGTCCTTTGTGGAAAGTATGTTGTTGTGGTCATTCTTTCCACATTGAATGTGTTTTGCCTTTCATAAGTGTTTGCCAGATTTGTCAGTCGACATTGCTGACAAAGCTCGACGTCCTTGGCAAGGTAGTGAACGAGGCTGTTTTGAGAGCGACTTTGCATGCAGGAGAACAAAGACGAGGCAGAAGATACAGAAAGCGACGACGAAAGCGAAACAGACGACGATGATGATGAGCACGAGATCCAGCCAGAAGATGCAAAAAACGAAAGGACAATCGATACATTGCTGCAACGAATCCGACATTGGAAACAACATTGACACCAAGATAAACACTGTGCTGTAGCAAGATGGTTCCATCTGTTTCCACTGGCACTTAGTCTATACGTACTGTTTCGATGTTTCCACATTGAAAATTACTTAAAACAAACAAGGAAATACTGTATTTATGGACAAAATCAATCAAACAGCTCGCAAAACAGGCGCTTGCTATCGAGAGCGAACAAGAAACCGGATATGACATACCACTTTATCACCGTCCTCTGATCACCGCCCAATATAACTTTTTGACGCATTTCCGACAACACGATCAGAGGTACAGTACAGTAATTTGTACCAGAGCATGCATGCACTATAAAACGGAAGAAAAACTACATAATCTTCCCAATGAAAACAGCGTTATTTCTCAAAGATCGACCGGTTTTGACGATATGATGCGGCTACAGAGCGCAATGAGGGCGGTAATTCAAACATCGATATTTCGCGCTCTGTATCGAAATTTATAAAGTCCCACGACAAAATTCAAGATATATGTATTTTCTATTAGAATCATTCGGTTTCAGATAAAAAGAGTTGATATTGTAGCTCACGGAAGTCTTAGATTACGATAATATTTTCTCGTCCTTTTTGTTTACGTTTTTAAATTTTAAGCATTTTGAATGGTCAAGACTACAAGAGCGAAAATGTAAATAAACGTGCTGATTGGCTAAAACGAAATCTGCCCTTGTTCGACCTATTAACAAATTTTATGCTGTTAAAGTAAATATTTTTCATGTTGCCAACGAAGGTTTGGACCTAACTTAGATTATAATTTGTTATTCACGTGCAAGGTTCACATTTTGTTCAAACCGTATACTAAAAATCTATATTGCATACCTATTTTCATTTTTGTGTTTTTAATGCCTGAAAGTGGTTTTTAATATGCATTGTGCCTTCCATATACCGGGTGGCGCAAAAGTTCAGGCGTTTGCTTTACTATAGCGAAAAAAACTATAAGACCTATGTCGCTCAAATAAATGTAGCTGTATTCATAAATAACTTACTTAAATTTCGATAGGTCATACATGCAATATTAATAACTTACTGACCGAGAGTGAGGGATAATATCCAACCGAGGTCGAATCAAACCGGAGTACTTTTTTTGGGACACTCCGTATATATTTATATAT